CATCCTTGGGTAGCGTAAATATTAAATTGTTAAAATCATGACCCCCGGGGGTAGGGCGGGGCCCCAACAGGGAATCCAAGTTTTACATAGAAATATATAAAACAAATCTTCAAAAATCTTCTTCTCAAGAACCACAGGGCCAGGAAAGCTGAAACTTATGTGAAAGCATCCTTGGGTAGCTTAGATATTAAATTGTTAAAATCATGACCCCCGGGGTTTGGCGGGGCCCCAATAGGGAATCCAAGTTTTACATAGAAATATATAGAACAAATCTTTAAAAATCTTCTTCTCAAGTACCACGGGGCCAGCAAAGCTGAAACTTATGTGGAAGCATACTTGGGTAGAGTAGATATTAAATTGTTAAAATCATGACCCCTGGGGTTTGGCGGGGCCCCAATAGGGAATCCAAGTTTTACATAGAAATATATAAAACAAATCTTCAAAAATCTTCTTCTCACGAACCACTGGGCCAGGAAAGCTGAAACTTATGTGGAAGCATCCTTGGGTAGTGTAGATATTAAATTGTTAAAATCATTACCCCTGTGGGTAGGGCGGGGCCCCAATAGGGAATCCAAGTTTTACATAGAAATATATAGAACAAATCTTCAAAAATCTTCTTCTCAAGAACCACAGGGCCAGGAAAGCTGAAACTTATGTGAAAGCATCCTTGGGTAGAGTAGATATTAAATTGTTAAAATCATGACCCCTGGGGTTTGGCGGGGCCCCAATAGGGAATCCAAGTTTTACATAGAAATATATAGAACAAATCTTTAAAAATCTTCTTCTCAAGTACCACGGGGCCAGCAAAGCTAAAACTTATGTGGAAGTATACTTGGGTAGTGTAGATATTAAATTGTTAAAATCATGACCCCTGGGGGTAGGGCTGGGCCACAATAGGGAATCCAAATTTTTACATAGAAATATATAGAACAAATCTTTAAAAATCTTCTTCTCAAGAACCACTGGGCCAGGAAAGCTGAAACTTATGTGGAAGCATACTTGGGTAGTGTAGATATTAAAAATTGTTATCATACCACTGGGCCAGGAAAGCTGAAACTTATGTGGAAGCATACTTGGGTAGTGTAGATATTAAAAATTGTTAAAATCATGACCCCTGGGGGTAGGGCGGGCCACAATAAGGAATCCAAATTTTACATAGAAATATATAGAACAAATCTTTAAAAATCCTCTTCTCAAGAACCACTGGGCAAGGAAAGCTGAAACTTATGTGGAAGCATACTTGGGTAGTGTAGATATTAAATTGTTAAAATCATGACCCCTGGGGGTAGGGCGGGGCGAATCCAAATTTTACATAGAAATATATAGGAATCCAAATTTTACATACTTGGGTAGTGTAGATATTAAATTGTTAAAATCATGATATAGAAATATATAGAACAAATCTTTAAAAATCTTCTTCTCAAGAACCACGGGGCCAGGAAAGCTGAAACTTATGTGGAAGCCTACTTGGGTAGTGTAGATATTAAAAATTGTTAACATCATGACCCCTGAGGGTAGGACGGGGCCACAATAAGGAATCCAAAGAGGTAGAGCCACTCTGGGCCTTATTTGGCCCTGAGAATTTCTGAAAGTTCAAAACCGCTCAGTTTAGGTTGCAAATGCAGTATTTATCACTTGGACTGTTGGTGACCACATATCTATTAATTGTGACGTAATTTCACATCTAGTCAATGAATAATGACGTCATAAAATGCATCATTTTCCTCATATCCTGTAAATTCCTTTGAAAATTACCTAAAGTTGAAGCATTTTTTCAATATTCCATATAGAGCACAACCTCTGATCCAAAATATGCCAATACATAATGAAAGGCCTTTTTCTGAAGATCAGAAAACATGTTTTATTTTTTGGATCGTGGGCTGTGCTCATATTTTAATTCTTTGCTGAAGGTAGTCAAATACGCACATTTTCTGCAAGTTTCAAGAACATTGCAATTTCTCAAAGCCTGTTCTCAAATATTTGGATTCTTAAAACAAAATTTCATTATAGAAAATGAATGCACCAAGTGTCTACTTTATTTTGATATATGAAAATGGAAAGAGGCTGATAGTTAATTAATCGATATACGTACAGGGCCATTTTATGCATAAGATGGCTCTTGCTCTTTTACATAGAAATATATAGAACAAATCTTTAAAAATCTTCTTCTCACGAACCACTGGGCCAGGAAAGCTGAAACTTATGTGGAAGCATACTTGGGTAGTGTAGATATTAAATTATTAAAATCATGACCCCTGGGGGTAGGGGGGAGCCACAATAGGGAATCCAAGTTTTACATAGAAATATATAGAACAAATCTTTAAAAATCTTCTTCTCACGAACCACGGGGCCAGGAAAGCTGAAACTTATGTGGAAGCATACTTGGGTAGTGCAGATATGAAATTGTTAAAATCATGACCCCTGGGGGTAGGGCTGGTGGGGCCACAATAGGGAATCCAAGTTTTACACTGAAATATATACAACATATCTTTAAAAAATCTTCTTCTCAAGAACCACTGGGCCAGGAAAGCTGAAAGTTATGTGGAAGCATCCTGGGGTAGTGTAGATTCTAAGGTTTTTAAATCATAAAAGGGAAGGGGGTAGTGGGGCATGATAGGTATAGCAAGAGGGGGAATCTGGTAAAGAACTGCATCACCCAAGTTACTCAGGTTTGTTCAAATCATGACCCCCCGGGGTAGGGCGGGGCCAAAATGGCCGACCAAAGTTTTACATAGAAATATATAGGAAAATTCTTTAAAAATCTTCTTCTCAAGAATGACAAAGCCATAATTCATCATATTTATATGGAAGCATGCTCATTGAGGTAGTGTTGATTCAAATTTGTTCAAATCATGACCCCCAGGGGTAGGGCAGGGCCAAAATGGCCGACCAAAGTTATACATAGAAATATATAGGAAAATTCTTTAAAAATCTTCTTCTCAAGAATGACAAAGCCATAATTCATCATATTTATATGGAAGCATGCTCAAGTAGTGTAGATTCAAGTTTGTTCAAATCATGACCCCCGGGGGTAGGGCGGGGCCAAAATGGCCGACCAAAGTTTTACATAGAAATATATAGGAAAATTCTTTAAAACTCTTCTTCTCAAGAATGTCAAAGCCATAATTCATCATATTTATATGGAAGCATGCTCAGGTAGTGTAGATTCAAGTTTGTTCAAATCATGACCCCCGGGGGTAGGGCGGCGCCAAAATGGCCGACCAAAGTTTTAAATAGAAATATTTAGGAAAATTCTTTAAAAATCTTCTTCTCAAGAATGACAAAGCCATAATTCATTATATTTATATGGAAGCATGCTCAAGTAGTGTAGATTCAAATTTGTTCAAATCATGACCCTCGGGGGTAGGGCGGGGCCAAAATGGCCGACCAAAGTTTTACATAGAAATATATAGGAAAATTCTTTAAAAATCTTCTTCTCAAGAATGACAAAGCCATAATTCATCATATTTATATGGAAGCATGCTCAGGTAGTGTCGCTACAAGCTTATTCAAATCATGACCCCCGGGGTAGGGCGGGGCCAAAATGGCCGACCAAAGTTATACATAGAAATATGTAGGAAAATTCTTTAAAAATCTTCTTCTCAAGAATGACAAAGCCATAATTCATCATATTTATATGGAAGCATGCTCAATTAGTGTAGATTCAAGTTTGATCAAATCATGACCCCCGGGGGTAGGGCGGGGCCAAAATGGCCAACCAAAGTTTTACATAGAAATATATTGGAAAATTCTTTAAAAATCTTCTTCTCAAGAATGACAAAGCCATAATTCATCATATTTATATGGAAGCATGCTCAGGTAGTGTAGATTCAAATTTGTTCAAATCATGACCCCCCGGGGTAGGGCGGGGCCAAAATGGCCAACCAAAGTTTTACATAGAAATATATATAGGAAAATTCTTTAAAAATCTTCTTCTCAAGAATGACAAAGCCATAATTCATCATATTTATATGGAAGCATGCTTAGGTAGTGTAGATTCAAGTTTGTTCAAATCATGACCCCCCGGGGTAGGGCGGGGCCAAAATGGCCAACCAAAGTTCTACATAGAAATATATAGGAAAATTCTTTAAAAATCTTCTTCTCAAGAATGACAAAGCCATAATTCATCATATTTATATGGAAGCATGCTCAGGTAGTGTAGATTCAAGTTTGTTCAAATCATGACCCCCTGGGGTAGGGCGGGGCCAAAATGGCCGACCAAAGTTATACATAGAAATATATAGGAAAATTCTTTAAAAATCTTCTTCTCAAGAATGACAAAGCCATAATTCATCATATTTATATGGAAGCATGCTCAGGTAGTGTAGATTCAAGTTTGTTCAAATCATGACCCCCCGGGGTAGGGCGGGGCCAAAATGGCCAACCAAAGTTTTACATAGAAATATATTGGAAAATTCTTTAAAAATCTTCTTCTCAAGAATGACAAAGCCATTATTCATCATATTTATATGGAAGCATGCTCAGGTAGTGTAGATTCAAGTGTGTTCAAATCATGACCCCCGGGGGTAGGGCGGGGCCAAAATGGCCGACCAAAGTTTTACATAGAAATATATAGGAAAATTCTTTAAAAATCTTCTTCTCAAGAATGACAAAGCCATTATTCATCATATTTATATGGAAGCATGCTCAATTAGTGTAGATTCAAGTTTGTTCAAATCATGACCCCAAGGGGTATGGCGGGGCCAAAATGGCAGACCAAAGTTTTTAAAGATATATATAGGAAAAATTCTATAAAAATCATTTTCTAAAAAATAGCAAATCCATGATTGGTCATGGGACTACTTTTGGATTGAAACTTTACAATTAAAAGCCATTTTCTACTTTTTCCTACCCTTAGTGCTCAGGTGAGCGATGTTGCCCATGGGCCTCTTGTTGGCAATTTGATTTAGGCCTACAGTATTAAAATTGGACTCATGTACTAGGAATATCATTTCTTTAGCAGAATTATCCCACTGAATTAAAAGGAACTCTTTTTTCAGGTGCGCATGATGCAGCTTCCTGGATGGTGTGTAGGCTGTTTGTCAACATGTGAATCCCATGTGCATTTCGAGGTAGGTAAGTTTACTGTCGATTTTCTTTCTTAAAAGCCGCATAAGGCATATTTTCTCTGATCTCAAATTTTTGTTTAAGCATTAATCTTTTTTTTTTCTTTCATGAATTTTCTGCTGAGAGTCTAATAAATTAAATAATTTAATTCAAGCTATATAGTAATATAGTGAAATTAATTCCTTGTGTGAGACCTAAAGAGGGACAGGTAACTCTCATTTTCACTAAAATTTCTCTGATTTCAGGAGTTATCTCCCCTTGAAAAGATCAATAATGGCGGATAAACAATGTGGCATGCAGTCTGGTCACCAACGGACAGTTTTGACACTGTATACCTGTATTTCTACCAATTACCTCAGTAACTCATCACACAGGTAAGAAAAACAAGATTTTTAATTCAAAAAATTTTAATGAGCAAAATAATAAAGAATATAACATTTTTACATGTACAGACTCTCTCGTAGAAGAAAATGTCACATTTTACATATACAATAATACATTATTCACATGTCCACATTTTCCCCATTTACACAGTTGAAAATAATCAATGCATAATCTGATAATGAACCCTAAAAATAATTATTACATGTAAGATAGTTCACAAAATATATTTTTAAATACAAATTTTATACATTTGAAATGCATGTACATATCATCAATGCTCCCCCCACCCTCCCTTCACAGTCTTACAATTTCCTTTTTAGCTCACCTCAACGAAGTTGGGGGGAGCTTATATGATACCCTCGGCGTCGGTGTCGGCGTCGGCGTCCCGGGTTAAGGTTAAGTTTTTTGGAGCAGTTTTCTTTTTAAGTACTTCTATGTCCTATATTGATTAGACATGCATGGAAGATGTTGCTAGTGTGTTTCATTGTACCAGTCAAAGTTTCAGATGCTGCAATTTCAGCAAAGGAATGACCAGGTTAATGTTTTTGGTGCAGGTTAACATTTTTGGTGCAGTTTTTTGTGTAGGTGTCATTTCCGAGTAACTATAAGCCTTATGTTGACCAAACTTACATGGATGATACATCTTAGGATGCATACTACCAGCCTTGCTTCGGATGCTGAATCTGACCTACATTTTCCGGTTGAGTGAACAGGTTAAAGTTTTTGGTGATGGTTTCATTTTGAAGATACTTTGAGCCCTATAATGACCAAACTTGCATGGATGGTACATCTTAGGATGTATTGTACTAGACTTGCTTCAGATGCTGAATCTGACCTACATTTTCCAGTTGAGTGAACAGGTTAAAGTTTTTGGTGCAGGTTTCATTTCCAAGTTACTATGAGACATATAATGACCAAACTTACATGGATGATACATCTTAGGATGCATACTACAGGCCTTGCATCGGATGCTGAATCTGACCTACATTTTCCGGTTGAGTGAACAGGTTAAAGTTTTTGGTGAAGGTTTCATTTCGAAGATACGTTGAGCCCTATAATGACCAAACTTGCATGGATGGTACATCTTAGGATGTAATCTACTAGACTTGCTTCGGATGCTGAACCTGACCTACATTTTCCGGTTGAGTGAACAGGTTAAAGTTTTTGGTGCAGGTTTCATTTCCAAGCTACTATTTGACATATAATGACCAAACTTGCATGGATGGTACATCTTAGGATGCATATTACAAGACCTGCTTCGGATGCTGAATCTGACCTAAATTTTCCGGTTGAGTGAACAGGTTAAAATTTTGGATGCAGGTTTCATTTCCAAGGTACAGTACTATGAACCCTATGACGACTAAATTTCATGGATGGTACATCTTAGGATGCATACTACCAGACTTGCTTCAGATGCTGAATCTGACCTACATTTTCTGGACGAGTAAACAGGTTAAAGTTTATGGTACAGGATTCATTTCCAAGTAACTTTGAGCTCTATAATGACCAAACTTGCATGGATGGTACATCTAAGGGTGCATTCTACTAGGCTGGCTTCGGATGCTGAATCTGACCTACATTTTCTGGATTAGTGGAAAGGTTAATTTTTTTATACAGGTTTCATTTGCAAGTAACTTTAAGCCCTATGTTGACCAAACTTGCATGGATGATGCATCTTAGGATGCACACTAATGGACTTGCTTCAGATGCTGAATTCGACATACATTTTCCAGATAATAGACCTCGTAAAAGTTATGGGTGCAAGTCTATCACCAAGAAACTATAAGGCTTATATAAACCAGTTGCACAAATGATGCATCAAGGGATGAAAACTCTCAATCTTGCTTCAGATGCTGGATTTTAATTACATTTTCATGATGAAGAACTAGTTTTTTAAATAGGTCTTTTCCAAAGTATCAAATTTGCATAAATTTTGCATTTTTGGATGTACACTTTTTGTTGGTTAATTGTGTGACTTAATTTGCCTTACTTAAAGACAACACACGTTGAGGTGAGCTCTGTAATCTCTGATTACCTATGTTTAATTTTGGATCTGTTAATGATTTACTGTAAGTGTCTTTAGATTTTTTATCGTACAGCTGATATCTTTTAGATCTATAGAATTTTCTTTGAAATTTATATTTTAACAGTTTTTGTTTCATTTTAAAGTAATTTTGTCTATTTTGTTGTTGTTTTAGATGATGGACCACTCTACTTCCTTTGACAACAGGTGCCCCTACAGATTCACAAAGTTCCAGTGTTGAGTTTCCATGACCCCTATTAAGTGAGTGCACAACTTTATGTATTCTACTTTCAAAATTCCTACTACTTGTAATACATTTTGGATTTGATTTTAAATATGCCCTATTTACAGATTCAGATTTTTGTGTACAAGCATGATATTTGATTCTATCAAGATTACTTTGTCCTAAAGTCAAATTTATGCAGTCTTTTAACTAACATGTGTCTTTTTCTGTCATGTTTAATTCAAAGTCACTAGGCAACACTGAAGATTTCCAAAATTACTTTTCAGTCAACGACAGGAAAAGGAATAGAGTTGACAGGACTTCCCCCACTGTCCCTGGTAGCAGTTTATGAGGGAACCAACCGCAGTAGACACAGCACGCTTCATCAAAGGTAAGTCGCAGGAGTAGTGTTTGTAGCAATTCTCGTACTCTGTCCTGCATCGAAGCTTCAGGTCCAAGGCAAATCTTCTCTGCATGGATTTTCTTGTGGCCTTGGTTCTTCCCGGAAACATGTGACTGCTGAATGAAGCCTTAGCAGTCTGTTTTCTTTGAGAGTCAAAGAAGTGACGCAAGTCCTTAAGGTTTTCAATCACATGTCCTTGTTTTTCAGATGCACCAGATGCAGCGGCACTGTCTCCATCACTTGTGAAATGGGATATGACTAGTGGCCGGTCATCACTTTGTAACTCACCAACACAATTAGCGGCCAATCGCTTCTCGTCTCCAATGGTGGTCTCCAGAGGAATGGTTGCAGTGCAGTCTTCGTGTCCTTGGCAGGTAACTTCTTTTCCTTTGCTTCGTAGGTGTGCGCCTTTCTTGCATAGTTTATTCCCACAGAAAACTGCTACCACATTCTTCCTCTGAGTTACATTTTCACTTACGGTATACGTCACTTGGGTGGCAGCTTGGAATGGGGTTTTCCCAATTGCACTGAAGGTGGCATTATTGTACCGAGCATCTCCTTCCCTCTGATGGGGGTATCCGGAAGTCCACATTTTTCATTAAGTTCTTGAATATTCTGCCGAATTTTCTTCATACTGTTTTTATTTACATTGGTTATAATTTTCCCCACTTTGTTGCAGGTCTGTTGCATGTTGGTGGCTGACGCTGGTTTAATATATGCACCAAGAAGCATACTACACATACCCTCTGTTGTAAGACTGGTACCCAGGTGACCGACAGCCATGGCCACATTCAGCTGTGCAGCTCTTCATCCCCTGCCAGATCTTCTCACCTCTTCGTAAAGCTTTTCTCGGTGACTGGTATAGTGGCACTTCTTACATCGAATGTAAAGGATCCGTGCAAGGCCTCGTTTTTCCTCCCCATGCTGATTCCAGTCCAGTTGACCATCACAGTCTGGAAAATTCTGTGAGTGTTCTTTAAATGCATTGTTCCACAATTTAGCAGTCTTTTCTTGGTGAAGTACTTTGTATAATTTTGAATTTGGGTCATCTGACACAGATTCCATGTAGGTGTCCACTGGCTGGACCTCACTTGGCCTGGGTCGTAAAAACTTCATCTCGCTGCTTTGGCTCTTGGCATCTATAACTGCAAACACTCCATTTTTCTGTGGCCGTACAATGTCCTGAAATTCTTCTTTACTTAGTCTTCTTATGGGAACCAGAGATTGGACTAGGCTGGTGGTCCCTATTTTCTTCTGGCCTTTGTTGTGAGGAATACTTCCTTTTTTAGGTCACCTGAGTAAACTCAGGTGACCTATTGCTATCTGTTTTCGTCCGTCGTCGTGCGTTGTGCATTGTCCGTTAACATTTGAACATTTTCAGCTTCTTCTTTGCAACCACTGAACCAATTTCAACCAAATTTGGCACAAAGCATCTATGGGTGAAGGGGAACAAAAATTGTGAATTTCATGATCCCTGCCCCCCTGGGGCCTTAGGGGTGGGGCCAAAACCACTAAAATTAATGCAATCTTTAAAAATCTTCTTCTTTACTCCTGGACATCAAGCAGTCAAACTGTTTGCATGATTGTAACAAGCAATGAGTCCTCTACCAAAATTGTGAAATTCATGGCCTTGGGGTCAGGGGTTCTAGTGCTAGGGTGGGGCTAAATAAGTAGGTATTGAAAATGCATTATTTCTTTGAAAATCTTCTTCTCTGCTCCTGGGTATTAAATAAACCAACTAAGTACATAGTTATGATGAGCAAGAGTACTTCTACCAAAATTGTGAATTTTATGGCCCCAGGGTCAGGGGTTCTTGTTTTAGGGTGGGGCCCTAATGATTATATATATAGTGAAATGCATGATTTCTTTGAACATCTTATCCTTTGCTCCTGGTTAATATGCTAATGATCTAATTGTATATTTAAGGCCAGTATTTATTTTATTTTCATTTTTACAAACCCTCCGCTAAAGGTTTTGAATTTTCAGAAAAAAATAAAAAAAATTTTTTTTCCGATGTCAAATTTGAGTCGGGATCGCGATTTCAATTTTACGATCTTGCACTTCCGGTTTTACGATGAAACAGCCGGTAAATAAAGCTAGATCTGATAAGATAACTTGGTTTAGTGTAAAATTCATCGATAAGAGTGCCATTCAAAACGTTTCACCCGTTCAAAGGACAAATAAAATGCTGACGACTTTGTTGCACAATGACATGCTGGTGAGATAATTAAAGTATGTATTCGTTTCAAAAGTTACTGTCTGTAAATTATTTTCCTCCCCCAGGTTTTAAACTGCTCATGGTAGCTATTGCATATTGCCAGCGACATTGTTTAGGTCTCTGTTATAGCTTACAGTCTAAGCATCATTCTTCAGAAAAGGGTTGTTTATGCAATAATGAATAAAACTATGGGAGAAGTGAAGTCCATTTGAGGAAGAAATAAACAATAACCTGAAGAAATAAAAAAAAATTCAACTATTAAAAGGCAAGAATATGCAAGAATATACAATTATATACAGGCATGTAGTATCATTTGTATCAGCCAGAAAAATTATTTTACACTTAATTGAAAAAATGTTCACCCTACTCCCCAATACTCCCTGTCTGTTTTACAATAGGAATTATAACTTTAGGGATCAAGTAAATTTTAGAACAATGTCTACACATTCACCTAACACATATGAAAAAAATGAAGATATATTTAAAGACTTTTAAAGAATTGATTTTTAAAAATATATTTTGATCAACATCACAAAATTTATACAACTGGCCCAAACTGGCAGATGATGAAATAAGCAGTAAAATGTTCTACTTTCATATTTGTAAGCATTATGTGTCCAGTGGTAAGGAGCCTATTAGGATAGCATAAAAAAAGAATGTACAAATGTTAATAATTGATTTATCGAAAAAAAAATTTATTTCCTTCTCCTTTGGGACTTTTTTATTCTCATGTTCATAACTAAACTTAAACATAAAGAAAAAATGCTGGCCTTATAATGAAGAAAGGGGCCTCTTTCAAAATAGATGATTTCAGGGCTGCTGGGTTAGGGGTACCAGGGGGATACTTTGACTAAAAGTAAATTAATGCTTTGAAATCTGCCCTTTGATAAGCAATGGTGCCTCTTTCAAAATTTGTGAATTTCATGGCTTTTGGCTTAAAACACTAACCAAATACAATCGCTGGAAAGCTGTTACATGATACTCAGGTGACCTATAAGGCCCGTGGGCCTCTTGTATTGATGTTGATGCAACCATCTTAGTCCTTTTTAGCTCACCTCGACGAAGTCGAGATGAGCTTATGCTATACCCCCGGCGTCGGCGTCGGTGTCGGCGTCCCAGGTTAAAGTTTTAGGAGCAAGTCCATTCCCAAGTAACTATAAGCCCTACCTGAACCAAACTTGCATGGATGATACATCTAGGGATGGACACTATCAGACTTGCTTCGGATGCTGGATCTGACCTACATTTTCTAGATGAGTGACCAGGTTGAAGTTTTTGGAGCAGGTTCAAGTTTTTGGAGCAGGTCCATTCCCGAGGAATTGTAAGTCCTACCCGGACCAAACTTGCATGGATGATGCATCTACGGATGTACACTACCAGACTTGCTTCGGATGCTGGATCTGACCTACATTTTCCAGATGAGTGACCAGGTTAAAGTTTTTGGAGCAGGTCTATTATTTTTTATAAGCCAAACTTGCATTATTCTGGTTTAAAACAATAATCGAAATTGGACCAAATTTTAAAAGTATTTGCAAAATATGATTCATCAGGGATCAAGTGATTTTCAAAACTTATAGCAATAAGGAGCCTTATTTGGACCAAATTTTTGCATGATGAAAATTATCTGTGAAAATAATATCTATACCTGACTTGCTTCGGATTTGGATCTGACCTACATTTTCATTCCCAAGTAACTATAAGCCCTTCCTGAGCCAAACTTGCATGGATGATGTATCTAGGGATGTACACTACCAGACTAGCTTTGGATGCTGGATCTGACCTACATTTTCATTCCCATGTAACTATAAGTTCTACCTGAACCAAACTTGCATTGATGATGTATCTAGGGATGGACACTACCAAACTAGTTTCGGATCCAGGATCTGACCTACATTTTCATTCCCAAGTAACTAGAAGCCCTTTTTGGATTAAACTAGCATGGATGATGTATCTAGGGATTGACACTACCAGACTTGCTTCGGATGCTGGATCTGACCTACATTTTCATTCCCAAGTAACTATAGGCCCTAGCTAAACCAAACTTGCATGGATCTAGGGATTGACTACCAGACTTGCTTCGGATGCTGGATCTGACCTACATTTTTATTCCCAAGTAACTATAAGTCCTACCTGAACCAAACTTGCATGGATGATGCATCTAAGGATGGACACTATCAGACTTGCTTCGGATGCTGGATCTGACCTATATTTTCTATACAAGAGACCAGGTTTAAGTTTTGGGAACAGATCAAGTCCTTGATATCTGCAGTATTAACAAAGTTATGAATATTTGTTAACACTTTACATGTTTTTCATGCTACAGGCGTAGAAATGTGTATATGCCATGTAACTGGTTAAACACAACTTGCAAGAATATTGTTGTTGGGATGAATACTAAATATTAAGAAAATATGATGTGAGATTTCCATTACTTAAACTGATAACATTCGTCGAGGTGAGCTTCGTAATCTTTGATTACCTATGTTTTTGGCATGGTAATTATTTAACTGTATACTTGTAGACTTTTTATAAGAATATGCTATTGTATGTGGTGCACATTTTTCGGTATTGTAAACTTTTGTGTTGTTTATTTATTTTAAAGCTGCCAGGACTTCTAAGAGAAATCCATTCTTTGATGACTGATGGAAAAGCCTCATCACCCCCCACTGCTTAAGAACCCCTTATCTTAATCACCAGCCATTAATCAGTGATCACTGTTACCAAAGCTCCAAGGTACATTATTGAAGTCTCTGTTGACACCATTTTTTCCAGTCTCTGACTTTGTTTTTAAATTAAGATTTTCACTTTTTTGCTAATTAATTCCTTAAAAAACAGTGAACTTCCTGTTTCTTAGCTGATTAGAGCTCATTAATTAGAGTTGAATTATTTTTTAGCAGATAGCCAAAAACTACAATATTTCAGCTTTCATTTCATTCAAATTTTTTAGCTCACCTGAGCCAAGTGAGCTTTTCTGATCACATTTTGTCCGTCTGTCTGTCTGTCTGTCTGTCTAGCTGTCTAGCTGTCCGTCTGTCTGTAAACTTTTCACATTATTGACTTCTTCTCAAGAACCGCTGGGCCAATTTCAATCAAACTTGGCACAAAGTATCCTTGGGTGAAGGGTATTCAAGTTTGTTCAAATGAAGGGCCACACCCTTTTCCAAGGGGAGATAATTATGAATTAGAGAAAAATTAATGGCATTTTTAAAAAATCTTCTTCTTAAGAACCACTGGGCCAGGAAAGATGGAACTCATGTGGAATCATCCTCAGGTAGTGTAGATTCAAGTTTGTTCAAATCATGACCCCTGGAGCTAGGGTGGGGCCAAAATTGCCGACCCAAGTTTTACATAGGAATATAAAGGAAGAATCTTTAAAAATCTTCTTCTCAAGAACCACTGGGCCAGGAAAGATGAAACTCATGTGGAATCATCCTCAGGTAATGTAGACTCAAATTTGTTCAAATCATGACCCCCTGGGCTAGGGTGGGACCAAAATGGCCGACCCAAGTTTTACATAGGAATATATAGGAAAAATCTTTAAAAATCTTCTTCTCAAGAACCACTGGGCCAGGAAAGATGAAACTCATGTGGAATCATCCTCAGGTAGTGTAGATTCAAATTTGTTCAATCATGACCCCCGGAGCTAGGGTGGGGCCAAAATGGCCGACCCAAATTTTACATAGGGAAATATAGGGAAATCTTTTAAAATCTTCTTTTCAAGTACTTCAAAGCTATGACTAGTGATATTTATATGGAATCATCCTCAGGTAGTGTAGATTCTAGTTTGTTCAAATGATGAATGCCTGGAGGGGGGGGGGGGTTAAATTCAAGCCCGATGTGCTCAGGTGAGCGCTGTGGCTCCTGGGCCTCTTGTTTTCTGAATAATTCACTTATTTAATTTTTTCAAATTTTGAAATTAATATGCCAAAGATGAATTAGTACAGAAATTTAGCCTAAAATTCAATAATCTGTTAGGAAGAGTTATCTCCTATTTTTCATCCCTTAAGGACAAAGATAAATTTTTATGCACTAGTATATGAAAGATAAATAACTCAGAGACATTTTGTGCAAATTTCAATTAATTTCATTAACTTTTAGTTGTCTTAAAAGGTCTCATGCAAGGAAATAGCCAATCAAAATGAACTTAGTCAATTGAAGTTCCATATATTTAGAGACAATTTTTTTTTTCTTTTATCATTTTAGGCAATTTGTTTTAGGCCTACAGTATTAAAATTGGACTCATGTACTAGGAATATAATTTCTTTAGCAGAATTATCCCACTGAATTAAAAGGAACTCTTTTTTCAGGTGCGCATGATGCAGCTTCCTGGATGGTGTGTAGGCTGTTTGTCAACATGTGAATCCCATGTGCATTTCGGGGTAGGTAAGTTAACTGTCGTTTTTCTTTCTTAAAAGCCGCATAAGGCATATTTTTACTGATCTCAAATTTTTGTTTAAGCATTAATCTTTATTTTCTCTTTCATGAATTTTCTGCTGAGAGTCTAATAAATTAAATAATTTAATTAAAGCTATATTGTAATATATAGTGAAATTATTTCCTTGTGTGAGACCTTAACACTTTTTTTTAAGAAAAGAGAGGTCAAAGGAAAGGTTGGGGTCAAAATGTTGTTGCAGTTGAAAAGCTTACATCAGTATGAATTTAATTTTAGCATATGAAGTTTGATAAGAATATAATTAATGGTTTATTTAAAACTTAGATAAACACATATTTTAAAAATTGAGGTCAAGGTCAAAGGAAAATTCAAGGTCAAAATAAGTTGATGCATTAATTGCTCTCAGCAGTATATGTATCAGCATATGAAGTTTGATAAATATATCTTGAACTGTTTATTCAAAACTGATCTAGACATTAATATTAGAAAAGTGAAGTAAAGGTCACAGGAAAGGTCAAGGTAAAAAAGAGTGAAGCATTGTAAAACTTACATCAGTATGTATCATCATGTGAAGTTTCATTACACAACTTGAATGGTTTCTTTAAAATAAAGCTAAACACTAATTTAATGAAAAGTTAAAAGAAGGTCAAAGGAAATGTCAAGGTAAAAAAATATTGCTGCAGTTGTATAGTTTACATCAGTATGCATTACTGTATGAACTAGCTTTGATAAATATATCTAGAAAGTTTCTTTAAGCCCGATGGAAAGACAGATGGAAGGGTGGGGGACAGACATGACAAAAACACAACATGTATTCCTACTCATTGCGTGGCATAAAAAACTTGAATCTACATTATATGAGGATGTTTCCATATCAATACTATATACAGGGTTATTTTAGCCCCATGTTATTTTCGCCCTTTTGCACTTGCATTAAATTTGTCCTGTCATAGTTCTGCCTAAGAAATTATACTGTGTAATTTGAATTCGCCCCGTTTTAAATTCACCCAATCAAGAAGAGGGCGAAAGGGACGAAAATTTCCCTGTATACAGTATTATACAAGCAAATTCAAAGAATCGTGGTCTTCTGCTTTCTGTGTTTCAGTGAATGGGATGCCATAATTTATGGCAGATTGTGTGTCAAATATGCACTCCTATCATATGTCAATTTTTGAAAATTAGGTCAAAGGGGAAAAAATCATAGTGAAACCGAAATGGTTGTTGTTTAGTTTCGTAAAAACGTTAGACCTATGTTTTTATATAAATTCTTAAACACTAAAAAATATTAATTCTCAGATCATACAAGTAGTATGAAACTGCCTATGCAAGGGGCTGCACTGAGGTAACACATGCTGTGTAACATGAATTTAGGAGACCTCTCTGGTGACGGAGGGAATAAACATTAGTTTGTTTCTTCTCTTACATACGGTCGTAAGACCTGAATAAGGCAGACGGTTGTAGGGGATAAACAGCTAAGTGTGTCACAGTACACCAAAGCACGTTAGACCTGAATAAGGCAGTCACTTGGTTGTAGAGAGAGGTGGCATACCACAATTAGAGGTGGGGGAAGTGTCAAGATGCAGCAGTACTAGTGGAGAGGCAGGACAAGAAGAAATTTACTTGCGGGAGACAACCGTTGACCACAGTTAGTGGTTGTCCAATCAAGAAGAAACCCATTGATCAGTACATATTTGAGTATAATCGTATTGGTCAACAAAAACTTGAGTTAACAGGTTAACGAACCTAAGTGTTACGCCTCGTTGATACAAACCATATTATCACCAAACATATAAGCTTGGCCGCGTTGCACGTTACATTATTTGGTGGCAAGCGTCGGGGTTTTGTTGACCATGGATTCGTATAAGTGTCAGAAACTATAGAGCGAATGGAGAAGCTCTTAGAAAGGATGAAAACGCCAACCAGTGACGGTGGTCAGACAAATGCTGCAAGCCGAGAGTCTGGATATGCAACACACAGTACTGATAATACCGGTATGTCAGGAGAAGTGTCATTTGACGAGTATGGCGCAAAGTTCGATTTTCAGACAAAGGCAAACCAAGCTACACATCAATTGCTGGGGTTGACGACTTTGTGACGGGCCATCTGTTCGACACACTAAAACCACATAGGCAGTCAATAGGGACAGACAATGCAAAGACAGGGCATAAAATCAAGCCAGCCACGTATGACGGTACCAGTTCCTGGCTTGACTACAGATCACATTTTGAGGCTTGTGCTGTTGTAAATGGCTGGACAGCACCAATTTACCTGAGTTGGACGGCAACACCAAACAAAGCTAATTTTATTTTTGGCCTAATATAAGTAAATATTTTTGAAAAATAGGTTTAACTTCTACGCAAGTGAGTTAAGTCTACATATGGAGGTTTCTATGCAAAATGTCTTTAATTAAATTCAATAATTGCTCTACCTACCGCACAGAAAATGTTAAGACTTAATTGTTTTCTAATACATTCTTGGTACTCATGACATGCAATTGCAAGTGCACATTATGACGTCATCGACCTCTTCTACACAAGTTTATAAGAAGGACATGGAGATAACGAACAGTATTCAATCTCAACGTCCATTAAACAATATACAAAATAAGAGCAGAGCAAACACGGACCTCCGAAACATCAGAGGTGGGATCAGGTGCCATGGAGGAGTGAGCATCCCCTGCCGACCGGTCACACCCGCCGTGTGCTCATTGTCATGATCAGGAAATAACGTAAAAACCGTCATCAATTCAGTGTTTAAATAATGGACTAACAATTGGTATGAAAAACGTCAGTCAGCATTTGACCCAATGATAAATTATATTTGCTGACAAGGTCATTGTATCGACCATACAATTTACGAAATGATGACTTTAATCGAGACTGTTCATATTCCTGTTTCATCAACTTGCTTGTCAATAATTTACCTCGTTTAAGAAATTGTTCATACGTAGAGCATGCTCTTGCATATCGAATCAACTGAGATATATATACTCCGTATGCAGGTGATGAAGGTATATTGCTGCTTAAGGGAAGTTGACGATAGACAAGAGGCCCATGGGCCTTATAGGTCACCTGAGCATTATGCAACAACTTTCCAGTGATTGAATTTGATTCATTTTTTAATCCAGATGCTATGGCATTCACAATTTTGAAAGAGGCCGCATTGATCATCATAACAATACACTTAGCAGTTGCTTAGTTTGTTTACTTAATAGCCATAGGCAGGGTAGGGGAACAAAAAAGGCATTTCAAGTAATCAGTAATATTTAGCATGATCAGTAATGCCCCAATCACACATGAACCCCTGACCCTTAGGCCTAGATCCACACATTGCACAATTTTTGAAAAGGCACCCTTGCTTTTCAAAAATATTTGATTAATACCAGGAGCATATTTCGAACAATTCATCCAGTTTCAGTATATAAGTACAGCCCCCCCCCTCCTTTATGGTACCCCTGACTCTGGGGCCTTGAAATTCACAATTCTGGAAGATTAGTACCCTTGCTCATCATAACTACATAGGTAGTTCATCTGCTTAATACAATGTACCAAGGAGCAGAGAAGAAAACTTTCTCAGATTCAATGTATTTTCACTATATAATCAATAGAGCCCCACCCTATCACTAGAACCCCTGACCCTAGGGCCATAAAATTCACAATTTTGGAAGAGGTATTCTTGCTCATCATAACTATGTAATTAGTTTATTTCATTCCTAGGAGCAGAGAAGATTTTCAAAGAATTCATGTATTTTCACTATATAATCTATAGAGCCCTGCCCTAACACCAGAACCCCTGACCCTGGGGCCATAAAATTCACAATTTTGTTAGAGGCACTCTTGCTCATCATAACTATGCATTTATTTAATTTATTAAATACCCAGGAGCAGAGAAGAAGATTTTCAAAGAATTCATGTATTTTCACTATATAATCTATAGACCCCCCCCCCCTTACACCAGAACCCCTGACCCTGGGGCCATAAAATTCACAATTTTGGTAGAGGCACTCTTCTCATCATAACTATGCACTTAGTTAGTTTATTTAATACCCAGGAGCAGAGAAGATTTTCAAAGAATTCATGTAATTTCACTATATAATCTATAGAGCCCCACCCTAACACCAGAACCCCTGACCCTGGGGCCATAAAATTCACAATTTTGTTAGAGGCACTCTTGGTCATCATAACTATGCACTTAGTTAGTTTATTTAATACCCAGGAGCAGAGAAGAAGATTTTCAAAGAATTCATGTAATTTCACTATTATAATCTATAGAGCCCCACCCTTACACCAGAACCCCTAACACTGGGGCCAAAAAATTCACAATTTTGGTAGAGGCACTCTTGCTCATCGTAACTATGTACTTAGTAGGTTTATTCAATACCCAGTAGCAGAGAAGAAGATTTTCAAAGAAATAATGCATTTTCACTATATACTTATTTGGCACTAGAACCCATGACCCCGGGGCCATGAATTTCACAATTTTTAAATAATGCTGATACAATCATGCAAACAGTTTGACTATTGATGTCCAGGAGTAAAGAAGAAGATTTTTAAAGATTGCACTAATTTTAGTGGTTTTTGTGACCCCAAGGCCCCAGGTTCAGGGACCATGTTTCACAATTTTTGTTCCCCTTTACCTATAGATGCTATATGCCAAATTTGGTTGGTATCAGTGGTTTCTCTTGTTCAAATGTTAACGCACGACTGAATACGAATACGGACGACGAACGACGACGGACGAAAAGTGATAGCAATAGGTCACCTGAGTTTACTCAGGTGACCTAAAAAGTTAAAGACATTACGTTTATCATATAGCTTGGCTGTTAGATTACCATTAGTGTCTTTTTCAAGTAAAATATCCAAGTATGAAGCAGAAGTGTCGGACTCTGTGGTATCTTTTATCTCAAGCTCACCAGGATTTATCGTATCGGCTTAGGAATGGAAATTATCATTAATAATTGACAATACATCATCGATATATCTAAATGTCGA